GAGATGCAATTTATGTCCCAGAGTGCCAGGGAGAGGCAGATAAGAGAAAACAAGACCTTCCTACATCCCTTAAACACTGAAGAATTTTGGAAGAAGGCAGGTAACTGTGTCTACACAGCCAAGGTTATCTGAAAGACTAGAAGTTCCCAACAAGACACAAATAGCAAAGGCAGATTTGAACAATGCAAACATCTGTAATAAAAAGGGTGTAAACAGCCAAATTGGATCACATGGGAATAGCAGTGCAGCAGCAAGCAAAACAAAAATAGCAGGAAAGGAAAGATAAATAAAAAAATGCCTAAAATACATGAGGAGCAAACAGACCGACATGGAAACAAGAGAGCCACTGAGTGCAAAATGGAGAAGAGCTGCGTGGAGGCAGCCAGGGTAGGTCAGGGATTCAACGAAGACCCTGAAGGGAAGGCCCAGGATGGAAAGAAGGCGGCTGAACTATTCTATCACAGCAACAAGGTGGGGGAAAGAGGAAGACATTTTTGTCAGCAAATTACAAACATCTGCGCTTAGAAAGTACAGCATTGTTTGAGCAACTTCGCGTAGAGCTGGAAGGCAGGTGCCACAGGCCTGTTCTTCACGGAGGTGGAGGGCTGTGGTGAACGAGCCTTTCCCCAGCCTACCCCTGTCTCCCTGGTATATGGCTTGGGTCTGCCAGCAGCTCTTCAGCCAGGAGAGGGTTTTGGGGGATAGCAATGAGTGTGGGCAGTAAAAAGCACAAACGATAACTCCTGTATCCTGGTAAGGGACCAGATTCCAGCAGTCCTACAGGAATCAAAACAAAGTAATTTCTGCCTTCCTTGCTGCTCCCTGCTTCTCCTCCTGTTATCAAGTGCCTCCTCCGAAGCCTGGTGTACAGAGCTACTACTTGTAGCTGTTGTCTGCTCCCAGTGATTTTTCTCTTTGTCGCTTCTGTTCTCTCCAGCTCACCATGATCCAGCCACAGGAGAGTGAATTTTGTCCATATTAATCCCTTGATGGCTCAGTCAGCACAGGCTTTGCCCATGTAGCAGGGCCACAGACCCTCACCTTTTCCCTTCCATCCTTTGCTCTGCTTCATTTTTCTCAGCCCAACCACGCTCTCTTGACAAGGCAGAGGTGGCAATGGGGTCCTCTGGTGGCAACACCTCTCTGCCTCTGCTTCCAAGCTGGACCATGAAGGAAACTACCTCCAAAACCCGAGCAGCAGGGACAGGCAGGCTGTGCTCCAGACCCAGAGCGGCCTGCGCCAGCCTGGCTGCCTCGTCCACGCTCCCTGCTCCAGCCCGGACCACCCTCGGCTGAACTCGCCCCATCTTCCCCGTCTCAGCAAGGAGGGTCCCAAAACACGTCTCAAATCCTACAAGTCCTGATTGCGCCGGGGCCCTGGCAGCACCTACTCGCTCTTCCCGCACAGCAACGGTTACTAAGCCGCCTGGGGAGAGGCTGGCCGTCCTGCGGCCGCGCTCGGGCCACCCGAGGTTCCTCGCGCTGCTCATGGCGGCCGCAGCAGCCA